TTTCTGGAATGCGGCAGAAACATCATTTTCTGCTTGTGTTTCTGGAACCGTGTGTAAAATGCAGCAAAACATGTATCGTACTTGCATTATGCTTTCTTGGTGCCCCAAACTTGGGAGCAGCCTCACATTTTGTCACGCGACAAGTGTAGCAAAACACTTAAGACAAAATGTGTGCCAAAAAAATAGACATGATCTACTTTGGCTAATTTGTTGTGGCAGTCCTTTCACGGAGAGTGTCTCTACTATGTAAGAACCAGAAAGACACGTCCAGCTAACACTTTTTAGGCAGTTGAAGCTATTTGTTTTCTTTTGAGATAACGCTTTTACATAAATTAATAAAAGCTGACCATTAAAAGCACCCCTCTTGGTGTAACATGTTTTGGCTCAACCCTCTAAGGCTCCATGCACACTGGGTGTTTTAATAACGCTGATATGTAAAGTCAGCGGTTTTTAACGTTTGTGTATTAGCATTTAGTGGCGTTTTGCAGCGTTTTTTCACGTTTTGCGGTTTTTTTAGAGTTTTTTTAGCCCCCCAAATTTTTTTTGTAAAAAAAAAGTCCAAAAACGCTAGTTTGCAGCGATTTACCGTGCGTTACCGTGTTTTTACCGCATTAGAGCATTGTTACAGCTAAAAAACTCCTAGAAACTCACTAGTTCTGGGTTTTTTTTTTCAGCCACAAAGTGCCCCTGCCTAAAAACGTTGATTACAGTCTATGTGTGCATGGACACATAGGATAACATGCTGGGGAGTTTACTGGCTGTAGAAAAAAATGTCAAAAGCCATAAAAAGCAGCTGTAAAAACGTCCAGTGTGCATGAGGAGTAACTGCTACTTTTTCGGGACAGCTTGGTTTGTTAAAGGAAGTTGAAAAATATCATACTTACTGGCCAGATCACTAGATGAAAGTCTAGGAAAAAAAAAAATGAATGCAGCCACCACTTGTATGAATTGCTAAGCTGCAATATAGCAACTTCTGTTTTTTGGGTTTAGTACTGCTTTAAATTAGTCAAAGAATTAAAGATGAACTCCAAGGCAAATCAAAAAGCACCAGTAAATGTAGGTGTGTGAGTTCTTGAACTTGACTTGGAATCAGCCTCTTGCGATCCTTTGCACAGCAGAACGTATGTTGTAGACTGGAGGATAAAAGAGGCACTAGGAGCCAGTAAATTGTACTGTAGTGCTCATCTTACAAGGAACATTTTGGCAGAAGGCGCACAGTAACAGGTAGTTGAGCTCATTAGTCTGCTCCTTTTTTTTTTTTTTGCTGGAGGCAAGGACAAGACCTCATTTCTCACAACAGAGAAAATTCTATCTATAGGCTATCTATGAACTGAGGCAAGGCTGTGTAAATCTCAGGAATGGATAAGCAGAAATTAAAATACCCTGACAAGTAAAACAGTTCTCATATACAGTATGTATTTTAAATATTCATTTACATGTTTGCTTGCCCTTCAAGATGAATGCCAGTTCCTTCAAGATGATGAACAGTTCCAACCAGTTTTGGTCCAAGCTTCAGCCAATACCTTTTATGTCTGCAATATGTGTCGTCCCCAAACACCACCACACTGATCTTGGGGGAACAATTAATCAGCCAGTTTGGATTTCTTGGCTGATACAACTGCTTTTTCTCCGACAAATCTAATGCCAAGGATGTTCTCCTGCTCTCCCTTGTTGTAAAGATCCTTTGTCTTCTGATGCCTATGGCTGGCTTCAATCCGTCTTAGCTTATTGTTTGACAGACTATTATTTGTCCATTATTATCCATTATTTACTGTTCATTCCTCATTAGTTATATCTAATTGATTATTAACACTCTTTTCTCATTACTAATTACCATTAAATGTCATTGTTAACGCTTAATTTTTTCCTTTCATGTTTTTTCTCTTTTTTTATTCTTTCTTTCGGACGATGATTTTGAGCTGTATGGTTTTGATACTGATATGCAATAAACCCTTGCCTAAGATTAGGCACTGCAACATGGGAAGCAGTTACAGTACCTTTGTTAACCTAAAATTCTCTTCTGTGCACCTCTTTAATTATGCTTTCGTTTTGTTACAAATTTCCAGCTTTCCTAAACCAGCCATAGAAGATGCGATTCTTTCCTGTAACCACAGGTTGCAGGGAAGAAAATTGCCCATTTCCCCCATCAACAAAGTCAGTGTTGATGGGGGAATCCCTCTCGCTGAGCCATTGTGTTTCTCTTGCAGGGGAGGGAGCCATCCCTGCCAGGAGAGCACAATAATTATTGCTAGTGGCTATAGCCACTAGCAATAATTGCATGAAAAATCAGACAGGCTGGTTTACAGTTCACACCACAGGCAGTTCTGGTGCAGTTTTGATGCACTTTGCCATGTTCCAATATGGTTCTGTGCAGAAAAATGCAGCATGTTCTACTTTTTCTTATGCACCAGAAACTGACTGGACCTGACTGCACTGGTGTGAACTAGGGCCATTGGAATACATGGAAAACACTGTGCATGCATTTTTGATGCAGAAAAAATGCAGTGCACTGCATCTAGTGTGAACTAGCCCTGAGTCTTTACAACCACTCAAACTTTCTTGTTTGAGCTGACAACACAGGGTCTTTGCTGCACTGGGGAGTTCCAGTAGACACTTGGTATGGGAGGAAAATAAGTGCTGAGAATGTAAACAGGAAGGAGTTGGGGAGGAGTTATGTAGTCAAGCAGGGGAGAACTCCCCTTTCACATGGGCAGACTCTGCCAGCGGATCAGCCTGCTCAGTCAGGGATCTGTCAGCTGATCCCCTCTGAGCAGGTGGATGACAGGTCCATATCTGCTCCGCTTATGCAGTGAGGACAGAAACAAGGCCCACTGTCATCTATGGGATGTCGGATGCAAACAGACCACCTGTCCGTTTACATCCGACTGTAATGAACGGATCCCCCTCTTTCTACTTTTAGCAGATCGGATGCAGGCGTGTCCATAGAGGGCAATGAATAGTCCGATTGGGTCCGCCTGAAAAACGGACAGGCAGACCCGATCATTCTGCCCATGTGCAAGGGCCATTAGGTGTACTACAACCTATACAAGTGCAAGGGCTGTATTTGGCCACACCGGGGTGCACGGATGTTCCTTGAATCCATGTGCAGGTAGTCCTATTCATATCAATTGAGATGCAGTGGCTGCACAGACATAGCCGCCGCTCCTAGGGTGACAGCTATCATATGCACAGTAGAAAGTGTGCTTTGGGGGGCCATGCAGGCACACAGCTGTCAATTTAGAAGCATTGGCTGTGTCATGTAGCTGTTGTGTCCCAGTTGACGTGGATGGGACTGCCTGCATGGGAATACATTAGAACACCGATGCATCCCTGTCAGGGCAAACATGAGTATGTTGTAGTATGCCCATGTGAACCAAGCCTTACAGGGCTAATAAGACTGCTAGAGATTTCAGTGCACTGAAAGCAGCATTGTCACCCTGCCACAGTTGTAGTAGTACACATATACATGTATTGCAGAGTTGTATTAATTATGTTTTTGGTTTTGTTTTTTTAAATTTTGCCCATACATGTACTTTAATGCTCTTTTTCATGCTTGATAATAATTGCATAGTTATTGACACCTATAAAGAAAGAAAACACGTATTGTTACTGTGAAATGGCACACAATACAAAGCAATCACCCTTCATCATGTTAATAGAACTGAAAATACGATCTTTGAAATTTGTAATGTTCAGCATTTTACTCAAATCTATACTCATATAAACCTGTTTTTCTTCTTTTGTTTCAGACTTTCAGCAGAAGAGCTTGAAAAAAAAGCTTTTACAACCTTGACCGTACTGCTGACACCTATTGTTGGTAGATATATAAAACGTAAGAGACTTATACAGGCCAGCATAGAAGAAATGCCATGGAGAGCTCAAATGAATCTAATCCTGGCACTAACTCACTTCAGCTTGTTTAAGAAAAAGCTTAGTCAGCTGTGCAGTGAAGAAGTGGTGTGTACCCAGAGCAATAACAGGTAAGGCCATAGCACAACACGTGAGCTGCCTAACAACAAATGTCTTTCATTAGTATTCTTTCACTTTATTAGCAAGAAGCAAGCAATTACTGTTAGATCCGTGGGTAATGAAGAGACATGGCAGACCCTGGCCTAAAGTTTACAAACCTAAATATTATCTTGTCTTGTTAGTCCCTTTAATGCAGAAAGGACAAATTGGCCACTGTGTGACCTTTTATTTTTCTCTTTGTTGCAGTCTGTTAATGGGCATGCCATCACAAACTTTGTAATTTTGCTATGTTGTAGTGTTCCTTCTCAACGCAGCTGCAGAGGCTAGGCCATTAGTCTCTGCTACTTTTCACAGCTTTTTATGCAACTTTTACCTTTGTTGATTACAACTTTATGCCTTAAAGTAAAGGAGCTGTTTTATCTGCCAAAGGATTCGTTTTTGTCTCAATCCAGTTTTGAGGTTTACACAGCTCTGCCAGACAACACAGCCCTGTTTGGCAGGACAGGAGACCAGCAGTTAAGTAACTCTTACAAGTCATATCCCTCCCCCAGACTGTCACTGGCCAATGAAAGAAAAAACAGTAGACTGATTAATTAGTTTCTCTGTCACTATGCTCTCTCCTCCTATCAGCATAGTCACCATTAGCATATGAGCATTGCAGCACAATTGACAAGATTCTTGTGCTGCCTCTTTCTCCCCCCAGTTTGAGCCCTGCTGTGCAGTAAACTACCTGAGGCTGATCCCAGGTCAAATTCAAGTGCTTATCCTACTTGTATAAAAACAGAGCTGAACTCCAGCTTAAAAACTAGCCTAGTAATAGTAAAAATAAAGAAAAAAATTATTGCAGTACTAATTTTCCTGCAATAGTCATAGATTTTACTGTGTAGTTTTGAAGCAATATAGGAGTGTGAAAGTTTCCATTAGATATACACACTAGATGCCAGAAGTATTGGGACAGCCCTCCAAATCATTGGATTCAGGTGTTCCAATCACCTCCTTGGCCACAGGTGTATAAAATCAAGCACCTAGGCATGCAGACTGCTTCTACAAACATTTGTGAAAGAATGGGTCACTCTCAGGAGCTCAGTGCATTCAAGGGTGGTACCGTGATAGGTTGTCACCTGTGCAATAAGTCCATCCGTGAAATTTCCTTGCTACTAAATATTCCACACTCAACTGTTAGTGGTATTATAACAAAGTGGAAGCAATTGGGAACAACAGCAACTCAACCATGAAGTGGTAGGCCACATAAAATGACAGAGTAGGGTCCGAGCATGCTGAAGTGCACAGTGTGCAGAAGTTGCAAACTGTCTGCAGAGTCAATAGCTAAAGATCTTCAAACTTCATGTGGCCTTCAGATTAGCACAACAGTGCTTAGAGAGGTTCATGAAATGGATTTCCATGGCCAAGTATGTGCATCCAAGCCTTACATCACCAAGTGCAATGCAAACCGCCGGATGCAGTGGCGTAAAGCACACCACCACTGGACTCTAGAGCACTGGAGACGTGTTCTCTGAAGTGATGAATCACACTTCTCTGTCTGGCAATACAATGGACGTGTCTGGGTTTGGTGGTTGCCAGGAGAAGGGTACTTGCCTGACTGCAAGTGTAAAGTTTGGTGGAGGGGGGGATTATGGTGTGCGGTTGTTTTTCAGGGGTTTGGTTTGGCCCCTTAGTTCTAGTGAAGGGAACTCTTAAGGTGTCAGCATACCAAGACATTTTGGACAATTTCATGCTCCCAACCTTATGGGAACAGTTTGGGGATGGCCCCTTCCTGTTCCAACATGACAGCGCAACCAGTGCTCTAAGCAAGGTCCATAAAGACATGGATGAGCAAGTTTGGGGTGGAGAGATTGACAGCATGCCCAGAAGAGTTGAAGCTGTTATAGCTGCAAAGGATAGGGCTAACTCAATACTGAACCCTACAGACTAAGACTGGGATGCCATTAAAGTTCATGTGCGTGGAAAGGCAGGAGTCCCAATACTTTTGGCAATAAAGTGTGTGCGTGTGTGTGTATATATATTATATACATATACAGTATATATACTGTATATATAGACACACATATCCACACTGTATATTTAGGTAAATGACACTTTAAAATGTAATTTCAGTCTAGATCTAGCTAAGCCTAAAATGGCTCCCACTCCCCTCCTAACTCCTATTACAACTTCCCTGTAAAAAGAAGTGGCATTTACTAAAATATTCTCAGGGTGCTCCGGTCAGGGGAGAGGAGAGAGCACCGATAATGGATGGAATGCCTGGGTAGTGATGACGCCCATAGGCTTACTATAGGGCATCCGTTGTCGACTTTCCCTCTTTTCCCTTAAAGCTGGTGCAAAATCATGTGGCCAGACTGGAGCGCCCCGAGAAAAGGTAAGTATCTTCCTTCTACAGGTTAGTTTGGGTTTGGAAGCCGTTTTAAGTTTAGTTAGATCTAGCCTGCAATTAAGCTTTAAATTGTTTGTAAATGCTTACATACACCCAGAGAAGGTGATACAGATAGGTGAACCAAATGCTCCTACATAAGTTGTACCTGTTTATTTGTAGCCTTTTGTCCTGTCCATCCTTCTGAAACTCAGAGATGAAAAGGATTTTTCACAAACGCACACAGCAGGGGGTGGGGAGCTGCACACTGTACAACAGCTCTGAAAGCTAAGTGAAGGGAAGGGACAACCCCCCCCCCCCCTTCACACAGTACACAGGAATAGAGCTGCGGCTGTTAATCACAGGCTGTGAGCTGCATGTACCTCCTCACCTATTTTCTCTTGGTGTCAGGAAAAATTGTTAGAAATTACACATGCTGATAACAGAGTAACTAAACAGCAAACAGAAATTACACTTAAGGAGGATTTACTAAAACGGAGCACTCAGAATCTGGTGCAGCTGTGCATGATAGCCAATCAGCTTCTAACTTCAGCTTGTTCAAATAAGCTTTGACAAAAAAAATGGAAGCTGATTGGTTTCTATACAGAGTTGCACCAGATTTTGCACTCTCCAGTTTTAGTAAATAACCTCCTTAAGGCTTTGAAGATTGACAAGTAATTACTATAGAAGAGGGGTGGGCAACTGTGGCCCTCCAGCTGGTGTAGAACTACAAGTCCCATGAGGCATTACAAAACTGACAGTTACAAGCATGACTCCCAAAGGCAGAGGCATGATGGGACTTGTAGCTGGAGGGCCACAGTTGCCCACCCTTGCTATAGAAGGAAGCGCTTTGTTCAGAATTCATGTCTGAGGTTTCCAATCACTTTAATGGGATAAAAGATTTACTCACCAGGCAGGCAATCTTTTGTTATTTTTCTCTGCAGCCGCTGATCAGTGTATCATTGTATGTATACAAAGTACTGGTGGAGGCATTCCTCCATCCATCTCATTTGTGTAGATGGGGAAAAAAAACTAACAGTGTTTGAGTAGTTTAAGTATTGAATAGGGTGGGGAAGGATTACAACCCCTGTTGAATTTACTGATATCTGGGGCTCACTTTCTGTCTTGGTGACAATGAATTTACCAGACAGGTAATAAGGGAAATTCTGCTACAGGGAGGGTCACAGAGAGCAATAAAGAGCTGGCAGGAGTTCAAACTTACTGCTGATCTACTAAAGAAAAGCATTTTTTTTTATCTGTTTGTGTTGCATTTGGAGATTTTCACTCCCTTGAAAAAATTGGCACCAGGGCAAAGAGATGAACATACATTTTTTCCCAAAGCAGAACACCAAAAATACAGTCATGTGTGTTGTGGTACCCTGCAACACGTGCAGCGGTAGTGCATTGGGATGTTAGTGGCTATGAATGGCACTGGAGTGCATTGGCACACGTAAAGTGTGTTGACACACATATTCACCGCACTGCACTTGAGAGGTGTGATGAGCTCTGAGAGCGACTAATAACATAATATTCTTAAGCCTGCAGGAATTTTCAGTTTTAGTTTTCAAACTCTTTTTGTAAGGCAACAATTCCTCAGTAACCAATCAGGCTTCCCCATTTTCAGTTGTGTAGGAAAAGCAGTCACCACAATCTGTATACACAGAGGAAAACAGCTTGTATTATGACCTTCTTTTCTATAAAAACATGCTAAAACATGTCAAGTTATATTATTGTGTTATAGAATATACCATTTCTTCTCAAATTTGGCTGTATGTATCCTGTTTTATATCTACCCTCATAAAAAGGGAAATCAAACTAAATTGTTTTCCTTTTGTAATCTGAAGGAGAAACAGCTTGTTTTTTTTAGTATGAAGTAATTTCTAGTAAAAAGTAATAATTCTAATTAATTAATTTCTAGTAATTTCTAGTAAAGTAATAATTATCTTAAAAAAGCAAGGACTTAGTTTTGTAGATATGAAATTATAGCCAAGTTATTGACCTTGAATTGAAAGTGTGCATGTTTCAAGAAATGTTCAAATGCCTAATAATTTATGTATAGCTCTGACAATAGTATTATGAACATTCAAAGTACAACTAAAGACTCCTACATGTCTAACAAGTCCCAAATCCAGCTAATGCATGATGCAAAAGTCTCATAAAATAAACAAAGAACTTCCTTTCTCTATTATCCATTGAGAGACCGTTTTGATGATAATAGGCAACTTAGGGACTGCCAAAAGCAGTCCAAACTCAAGAGCGGCAGCATTCAAACAATGCAGGCGAACAGGAAACAACCCAACAAAGGGAAGTCAAGGGCACTAAATATCCACCTGCAAAACCCATACTTTTAACTTGAAATGGAAGCTGTTTTTTCTGTTAGCAGATACTGGTAAATTCATGCCAAATAATATAAATCCTGTAAGTCTCAAACGTTGGCCAGCAGGCACAGGTTCTCCCAGTTCATTTAGTATGCAGATGTTCTCTCTGCAATGGTGTCAGTGAAAACCATCTGTGTTCCAGTTAGCACAGGACTCTGCTATTCAAGTCATGCCACAGTATATCTGGGGATTCCTTGCAGAGTTATCAGGACAGTTCACCTTTTCCCATCTCTGAAGACTGACTATCATGGGTCAATTGCAAGTTATTTACTGTATTGAGAATTAGTTCCTCTATCTTGAAGCTAGGACTGTGTGGAACGTAATACAGTGGCTGCTCCTTTTCTCCCAGAGTTGTACTTTGTACATTTGTGCATACTGGGCAATGTGTTTTTACATGGGAGAAATTCATTTTTATTTTTACTAGGAAATGGTCTGAGTACTTTTTGTTTTTCAGCAGCCTGGAGCAGTTTGCGTATGGCCACTGTTTGAACTTCCCGTTTTATCTGTGGCAGTGACTTGTAGCACAGCAAATGGAGCATTGCATGCTTGCAAACTGGCTGCTTCTTGCCACTGCTGCTTAGTAGTTGAGGCTCACCGAGACACATGCATATGTTGATTAAGGCTGGCCATACATTATATTATTTTCTGTCCACTTTCTGCCCAATTTCCTTTAGATTTACCTTCAACTACGTAGTGCAAGGGCCTGCCTAATTGGATACAATTGAAAGTGTTGTTTAGGCTTGACCTCATATTATATGGTAATTGTTAAATCTAATGCAAAATTCTCAAGAAAATTGTGTAATGTATGGCTGGCCTAACTCTTCCTATCACCTGCATCTCTTTTGTTATAAAGAAACCTGTGCCAAGATGATTGTATTGGCTAAAAATTGCTATCCTCCTGGAAAGCTAATTGTCCTTTTCTATAGTACTTTAATTTGCTAAGCTAGCAGAGGCTTATAGATCAGGAAACTCAGAGCAGAACATGACTGTACACTGTGCTCAGCATAAATGAGTACACCCCTTTTGAAAAGTAAGATTTTAATCAATGTCTCAATAAACACAAGAACAATTTCCAAAATTTTGACAAAACTGAGTTTTATAGAACGTTTGTTTGGCTCATAACATGAAAGTAGGGTTAAAATTATACCTTAGATTACAAAATCTTCAGTTTTACTCAAATTAGTTGATGCAAAAATGAATACACCCCACAGCAAAAACTACTCCATCTAGTATTTTGTATGACCCCCATGATTTGTAAGGACAGCAACGAGTCTTCTAGGTAAGAAATGAACAAGTTGGCGACATATTGCAACATTTATTTTTTTTTCCATTCTTCAAGAACGACCTCTTTTAGAGCTTGGATGCTGAATGGAGAGTGATGCTCCACTTGTCTCTTCAGAATTCCCCCCATAGGGGTTCAGGTCAGGAGACCTACTTGGCCACTGAATTGCTTTCCCCCTGTTCTTCTTCAGAAATGCAACAGTGGCCTTAGATGTGTGTTTTTAATCATTGTCATGTGTTATGGAAAAGTGCACGACGACCAAGAGCATGGAGTGGTGGTAGCATCTTCTCTTTCAATATAGAGCAGTACATCTGTGAATTCATGATACCATCAATGAAATCCAGCTCCCCAACACCACAGCACTCATACAGCCCCAGAGAAGAACACTACCACCACCATGTTTCACTGTAGGCACCATGCATTTTTCTTTGTACTCCTCACCTTTGTGACACCATAAAGTTTTGAAGCCATCAGTTCCAAAAACATTTACCGTATTTGCCGGCGTATAAGACGACTTTTTGACCCTTGAAAATCTTCTCAAAAGTCGGGGGTCGTCTTATACGCCGGTACACGTCAGGGGGCACTTTTTAGGGGGGGTGGGGCTGCTGCCGCCGCCCCCCCCTTCCGACGAAAGGGACACCAAGAACAGGGGTGGGCAGAGGGCTGCAGTCTCTTACCTGGCTCCCACGACGATCCATCCAGGAAGCGCTGCTCCTTCAATCACTCCGGCCACTCCCTCACTCTGCCTCGGCTCCGCCTCCTCACCAGTGATTGGCCACCAGAACTGTAGCTCAGGAAAGGCACACAGGTGGCCAATCACGGGCGAGGAGGCGGAGCCGAGCAGACCCGCGAAAATCGAGTGAGGGTAAGTGTGCAGTGCAGAGGTGCTGCTGCAACCACATATGCTGGCTGCAGCAGTACCATACTAGAACAGGAGTCAGCAAGTGTCATTGGTGTCAGTGGGAGGAATAGTGCCCCATCATTGGTGTCACTGATACTAATGATGGGGCATTATTCCTCCCACTGACACCAATGATGGGGCACTATTCCTCCCACTGACACCAATGATGGGGCACTATTCCTCCCACTGACACCAATGATGGGACACTATTCCTCCCACTGACACCAATGATGGGGCACTATTCCTCCCACTGACACCAATGATGGGACACTATTCCTCCCACTGACACCAATGATGGGACACTATTCCTCCCACTGACATCAATGAAGGGGCACTATTCCTCCCACTGACACCAATGATGGGGCACTATTCCTCCCACTGACACCAATGATGGGGCACTATTCCTCCCACTGACACCAATGATGGGGCACTATTCCTCCCACTGACACCAATGATGGGGCACTATTCCTCCCACTGACACCAATGATGGGGCGCTATTCCTCCCACAGACACCAATAATGGGGCACTATTCCTCCCACTGACACCAATGATAGGGCGCTATTCCTCCCACTGACACCAATGATGGGGCACTATTCCTCCCACTGATACCAAGATGGGGCACTATTCCTCCCACTGACACCAATGATGGGGCACTATTCCTCCCACTGACACCAACGATAGGGGACTATTCCTCCCCCCACTGACACCAACGATGGGGCACTATTCCTCCCCCCACTGACGGAGTACTATTCCTCCCACTGACACCAATGTTGGGACACTATTCCTCCCACTGACACCAATGATGGGGCGCTATTCCTCCCACTGACACCAATGTTGGGACGCTATTCCTCCCACTGACACCAATGATGGGGTGCTATTACTCCCACTGACACCAATGATGGGGCGCTATTCCTCCCACTGACACCAATGATGGGGGGCTATTCCTCCCACTGACACCAATGATGGGGCGCTATTCCTTCCACTGACACCAATGATGGGGCGCTATTCCTCCCACTGACACCAATGATGGGGCGCTATTCCTCCCACTGACACCAATGATGGGGCGCTATTCCTCCCACTGACACCAATGATGGGGGCGCTATTCCTCCCACTGACACCAATGATGGGGCGCTATTCCTCCCACTGACACCAATGATGGGGCGCTATTCCTCCCACTGACACCAATGATGGGGCGCTATTCCTCCCACTGACACCAATGATGGGGCACGATTCGTTGCTCTGACACCAATGATGGGGCACGATTCCTCCCACTGACACCAATGATGGGGCGCTATGCCTCTCACTGACACCAATGATGGGGCTCTATTCCTCCCACTGACACCAATGATGGGGCGCTATTCCTCCCACTGACACCAATGATGGGGCGCTATTCCTCCCACTGACACCAATGATGGGGCGCTATTCCTCCCACTGACACCAATGATGGGGCACGATTCGTTGCTCTGACACCAATGATGGGGCACGATTCCTCCCACTGACACCAATGATGGGGCGCTATTCCTCCCACGGACACCAATGATGGGGTGCTATTCCTCCCACTGACACCAATGATGGGGCACTATTCCTCCCAAGGACACCAATGATGGGGCACTATTCCTCCCACTGACACTAATAATGGGACACTATTCCTCACACACTGACACTAATGATGGGGCACCATCATTGGTGTCAATGGGAGGAATAGTGTCCCATCATTGGTGTCAATGGGAGGAAAAATGCCCCATCATTGGTGTCAGGGGGAGGAATAGTGCCCCATCATTGGTGTCAGTGGGAGGAATAGTGCCCCATCATTGGTGTCAGTGGGAGGAATAGTGCCCCATCATTGGTGTCAGAGCGAGGAAGCGTGCCCCATCATTGGAATACCATACCATATTGAAATCAAATCTGATGTTTTTTAATTTTTGGTGTGCGTTGGAAGAGGGGTAGTCTTATACGGCGAGTATAGCCCAAACCCTATATTTTAACAGGAAAAGTGGGGGGTCGTCTTATATGCCCAGTCGTCTTATACGCCGGCAAATACGGTATCTTGGTTTCATCACTCCAGAGTACAGAGTCCCAGTAGTCTACTATTTTTCAGCATGGACCCTGGCAAATTCTAAATGGGCTTTTTTGTGCATGGGCTTTAGGAGAGTCTTCCTTCATGGATGACACCAATGCATACCATTCCTCTGCAGTGTATGCCATATTGTGTCAGAAAAAAATCGCCCCAGTTTGACTTTCTACTTCTTTAGTTAACTGCAGTGAACTTGCATGTTGATTTTCTTCAACCCTTCTCATCAGAAGACGCTCCTGTCTAGGTGTTAACTTCTGTGGACGGCCTGGATCTCTTTGAGATGGTTGCAGTTCCATCTTTGTATCACTTTTGCTACAGTATTCTGACTGATAAGTAAAGCTTTGCTGATCCTCTTGTAGCCTTCACCTTTCTTGTGTAAAGAAAGTATTTTCTTTCTCAGGATATTTCTCTTCCATGTGGTGCCATTGCTGACAGCATGAAATGGAAAGGGGTTTTCTTTGTTAAGTAACGCCCTTTTTTATTTCAGCTTTCTGATGGACACCTGTTTAATGAATAATTAGACTCACCTGTAGTTGAATTATTGTTAATTAGGATTTTGTTGTCTAAAATTTAGCTTTGCTCCTAAGAATTTCATTGGGGTGTATTCATTTTTGCAACATGGTCTTGATTGAATGTTAGGAAAAAAACTTTTTTGTGTGTGCAAATTAACAAATCTTGTTTGCGATCAATTGCCCACGTTCATGGGAGTATTTTATAGTATATTGTCCCATAGAAAATGTTGATTTTGAAAGGAAAGTGACAAATCTGTTGGGGTGTACTCATTTATGCTGAGCGCTGTATATGTGTCTGCATATTACCAGTGGTAATACAGAGCATCTCTCAGCAGTGGTGTTACTTGGGTTTAATGCATGCAAACCTGTCCCCTATATGACTCCTGCAGGATTGTACACAGCAATGCACTGCTAGGTGATATGTAGACCCAATCAACGTGCACATGGGTGTGTCAGACTTTTTAAGACCCCCCTCCCGCTTCCACCATACAATAGATTTTCCTTTGGCATGCCTGCTTTATGGGACGCAGTGCACAACGGCAGATACAGCCTTGAGGTTACTGTGCTCCACCTACAGTTTAAAAGGTCACAAAGCCTACCTCCATATATCCTTGGCCTATATCTGCAGGTGACCCTCCTACTCAGGGCCCAGTTTGCACTATGTGCAATATTGACTTGGCGTAGGCACAGATAGTCATGGGAGGTAAATGCCTAACACCACCTTCCCAGTGGATTCTGATGCAGAGGCTTTTTTCAAGAATTGGTCTACTACTCCCTGTAGTCAACACGCCTGTGTCTCACCTTACTAAGGTCTTCACCACCCCTTGTTCACCTCTGCACTGATTTCTCAAACTTTGGTTGATTGTTCAAAATTCCTAATTAGGGACTTCATGGCTGCTGACATTTACTCTCAAATCATTGATTGCATTGACCAGATGATTGTTGCATTGATCTTTATGTGAGACAAGGTGCTGGGTGCTAGTGGGGTCACGCCTTGGCTAACCCTTTTGGCTATTCAGATCTCTGTGAGGCCCTCGTTTAAATGCTACTCAGCGGAGCAACAGTGTAAAAAGACCTTGGTATGCCTACCTTTTATTTGGAGACCACCTTTTCACTTCTTCACTGGATAAAATCTTTAAAGATACTACAGAGAGTGAGAGTACTCACTTAGCCCTGCTGCACAAAACAGAGGATCGGTGACACAGTTTGACACCTTCCATTTTTACTTCAGTATCAAAAGGTTACCAAATAGTTTCACCTTTTTTCCCTGACCTTATTCTTTGCTTTGTGTCTTCCAATGCCAGAGCAACATCAGACAAACCTCTTTTCAGCCAATCAGGGATTGTCCTAATGAATATCCACAATGTGATCTCATTAAAAAAGAACATTTTAATAATGTACAGTAATATAATCTCATCCAACAACGTGAAACAATGCAAAAATTGCATACATGTACACATAAACATTAACATAAATCACTCTGTAACCTATAGTGCACTCCTTCTTCCTAGTGTGATTATATATCCCAAATAAGTGTGAACCTCAGCCAGCACAGGAACCAGCAAACAGGTTTTCACCCTCCAAGGAGATTTTTTTCCCATTCCCTTCCCTGTTGACAGCATTGTCATGGAAAGTGAGGGGGGTAACATATTTGAGGGTGCAAACATAATTTTATAGAGGCGGTAACCCTTCCGTTTTCTATTGAAAGAAAAAATATATAATTGAGCAAGCTAAAATATACAAAGGCTATCTATATCTATATATATATCTATCTATATATATATATATATATATAGTTATATAGTGAAGGTGCCTGACCAGTATAATCAGGAAGCAGTATTAGACAATGCTTATACGGTATATTGTAAGGTAAGAGATTACTAACTACAACTGCACATCTTTCAGAGACTAAAATAAAATCCTAACTTAAGTTTACATTTTTCTTGTTATTTAATAAGATTTAATTTTAATTAATACTCTTGGGGTAGAGATCAAACTGTTAATGTTCATTTATATGTAAATCTTTTAATCATGTGTATGAAATTAAGAAGACCCTGGCAAAGTGACAAACTGAGCCTTTAGCTCAGTATGCAAATGAGGAAATAGCACTTTCCAATACTTTGAGCCCTACAAATGTAAAAATCATTATTGGTAGTTTTTGTACATAGAATATTGGCACATTGTTCAATTTTCTTTTCTCATTCACAAAGTGGCTACAGGACATAAAGCAGGTGATAATGCAGCAGTGAACAATTTACAATAAATGCAGTGCACCCGAGACAAGTTTTTGTCTTTATTCATCTCTCATTTCGAACATAGGACTGTGAGCAGATTATGTAATGATTTCAATGTTAAAAAAGCTACATTTATTCTGTCATGCTTCAACTAGATTTACATTTACAAAGAATGATGCAAATAATTTTTCGGTGCAATCTTTTCCAATGTACATCTCTATTTACATGAAGTACCATGTCAAACAGGTATCAGGCATTGATTTTCAGATTAGTCAGAACATTTTTTGCTGGTGCAGAATATACTCTATTCTACATATTCTTGCTACGGAAAATGTACAGTGCAAGACTACTCCCACCCTCATTCTAATACTATTCTATCTACCTTGTAAAAGAAAAGATGTCTATACGTACCTATTCTGAAGCTCATCCAGTCCATTCACGTGATTGGGTCTAAGTGCTGGCTTCAGTATAGAGGAGGGATATTCTACAACAGATGCCCCATAGTAAAGCCAGCCATACATATACTCTGCTATATTTTAAAGAACGATTTCTAATCAATGATGTGAGAATCGTGCGAGAAATGTACTTGAAAAAGAAATAAGCATGAGCTGTGACCTGGAAAGAAAATTCTTGGCCACGAAAATTCTTTTCTGTAGAACAGGAGGTGAAATTAAAGGCTTGGTTGGTCAAATTTTGAAATCAGTGGTGGCACCATCGAATTACAAAACGATTACAAGACGCATGATTTCCGATTTTCTAAAGAAAATTTATTTGGAATTTGACCCATGTATGGCCTGCATAAGTCTATAGGTGACGTCATCACCTGGGCTCTGCAGCTGTTGTTGCTGCCTCTCCTTTGGAGCCAGCATTTGGACTCGATCATGTGACTGGACTGGAGTGGCAACAAATAGGTAAGTATAGACATTTTTAATTTTATAGGGTACATAGAATAGTCTTAGAATGGAGGATTTAGACTTATTTAGAATTTGACTGGAATTTCAATTTAAATGTTTAGGCTGTTTTGTTATTGGTACCTTTTGAGGTATCACATGATAGTTATATTGGCATGAGGTTAGAGACATGCCCTGCTTACATCATAACATTACATATAGGATCAATCCACCGAACAGTTTTAAGCACCTGGCTTCTTATACAGTGGGGCAAAAAAGTATTTAGTCAGCCACCAACCTCAGCCACCAATTATGCAAGTTCTCCCACTTAAAAAGATGAGAGAGGCCTGTAATTGGCATCATTTTTGTTTCTCATTTTGTCCCTCATAGTTGTTAGGTCTACCTATGATGCCAATTACAGGCCTCTCTTATCTTTTTAAGTGGGAGAACTTGCACAATTGGTGGCTGACTAAATACTTTTTTGCCCCACTGTATGTCTTGAATATTCCAACAGCAAAATCTTCCTGCAACGGTTCCCAGCTCTATTCCTATACACTTTGAATGTTCTCATTCACCTTTCTGTGTTTTAGCACCTACTTGTGTCCTTCATATTCTGAAATAGATTTAAAAGGTCCAGCGGTGTGAGTGGAAACCAGTCATAATGGTTACAAAAAGTGTGCAGACAGAAAAAGTTCTGGAAAAACTCAAATATCAACTTTGGGCCGACTGTCCCTTTAAAGCAAACCAGTGTTTTTTTAAAAAGAAATAGCTCCACACCCCCTGATAGGTACCTAATGGTGCCTAAACCTACTTTACTGCCTTGCTGCTCTTACCTCTGCTGTTGATCAGTCATTATCCTGGTACTTCCTGGAATGAGAGAGCATGTGACACCCCCTCCCCCATTGTCAATTGCCATGCTCCAGCTCTGTCATACAGGGTGTGCTTGGCTTATCATAAAATGTGCTGCTGACAATTGCTAGTGATATTGGTGGTAGGGGGAGAATAGTCAGGGTACATTAGGGTGAAGATGCAAATGAAGTCTGCTTTAAACACTTCACCTGTCACTCCTGTACATCCCATAGGGACCGGAGCAGTTTTTCATTTCTGTTGTAGGCAGGGCTTTTTTTCTCAGAGAATAGCCACATGAACTCCATCCTTATGAATCA